CAGCAAAAAATACATTAACTCATATAAACACCAAACAGAAGCGCCACAATTAAGCCGAGGCATGATGCAAACACCGAGAACGTGATTTAACTGATACAGATTTCTAAACATGCATGTCCCATCACTTCAAATACACTTCTGGGGAATTATTTCTTCATCAGATGGAACAATGACGGACTCCATGCTGGATTACTCATTCCTCCATGAAACTTAGCGATGGGAAAAACAAACAAGAGGCATGAGATGCTTAAGTTCACATGCTGTATAAACAGATGCATGTCCCCACAACATGACCAAGTGCTTACACAGCCAAATGTCAACTTTGGACCATATAAAACATGCAACATGGCCTTATGGGAGAATGTGACAGCAGACACTCACATTGTACAGATCTCCATCTGTATAAGTTATGTTTAGTCCAATCCTTCCAAAAATACTTAATACATCTTTAAGGATTTCTTACACAAAATTGTGGAGTGGTTTAATTTTAGAATGGTCACAAATAGTCCAGGAAACGTCTGTAATCTGCACTTAAGGGGTTACTGAAATATGTTGCTCTTGTCTAATACAGATTTCACTCAATAATGCATTGGCGTACAACAGAAGCAGCATTTTTCATCTGAACCACTTTCTGTTACTTCTGCCTTTTTACTCAATAAAACTGAAAGCTGTCTTATTCTGCAGTAATAGAAAGAATGTGTACACTTTTGTTTTTCTTGGCCGTGGGAAATTTTCTGTGTCTGTTGTTAAGAGGATGTTTGATTTGACACAGAAAAGTATTTTTGGTTAAAGGAATTCTGAGGTCAAATACAGCAGGACAGGCCTGGTACACTGGGATCTTTAGTCCTAAATCTTCTTAAACAGCACAGCATGAGCAGGACGTTTCAATCTCACTCTGGACCTTTTGCTAAGCTTAATTAATAGTTTAGAGGATGTGCAACTGGAACATTTGAGATATTAAATTGTTCCGACTCATTTTTAAAGTAATGAACATCAAGGGAAAGGTTTTCAACATTACCGACTAGAGAGCTAGCTATTGTTTCTATTCAGCTTCCTTTTTCAGTCTAGGTCCTTGCAGCATGGATGACGGTTGTATTTGTCTTGGAACAACAGGGAGGTTTTGTGTATGTCTAATTGTGCATCTGGTCATAGTTTGTGATCATTAGTCTTGTCCAGGCAAATAAAATGAGCTGCTAGCATTGAGTACTGCTAGCATTAAAGGTTCGGGTTAGTTTTTTAGTTTTAATTCCACCTCAGTAGTCCAGGATTTTATTTATTTTAAGTAAAATATGACGATTGTGTACAGTTTTTTTTTCTGTCTCAACAGAAACAGAAGCTCTCATGGAGGAATCAACAGCAGCATCATCCACACTCAACCGTTTGTTCACTCAAGCTAATTTGGGACAGGAAGGTTGAAAAGTGAAGCAGGAAATGGTTATCGGGCATGATCGGGAGCTTTGAAGAATGCAGACTGAGTGTATGTCAGCAAGTATGTGTATGCTGGACGGTGCTCAAATAGATCTGCCTTTCTGAAGAAACAAGAAAACCACACATGTGATGTTGTTACAGTCTCAACACCCTTCTGCTTTTATTTCATCATCAGTACTTTTGAGTGTAAAAATGAAACATGTTGATGATGCAAATACAGAAACACGCCGTGGTTTGAGTCTGGCTGCAGGTATCGCACACACGATCAAAGGCACACCTAAAGGTTAGAAATGAGAGACTTTGAAAGCTTTTGCCTGGTGGTTCTCTACCAGCTGCTTTTGGAAGATCACCTTTCTCACAAACGTACAGAAGATTTCTTAACTGTTGTAGTGGTCCTCACTAAACAACACATGTGTTTAACATTTTCATAAATGTGTTGTTGAAACATTGGAAATAGGCGATCTAGGAAGATTAAGCAAGGCCACACTAGGGGCTGCATGACTTAATTTTTTTTAAAGTCGACCGCCAAATAATGCAAATTGAGTTGACTTCGACTAGTCATTGATGACTTCATACACTTGGGGGGGGTGTTGATTCGCTGGAGTTTTTGACAATTAAAATTGCGTCCACATTTTCTAAGTGAAACACATCTCTTTTAACAACAGTAGTTTCTGCATCTTGCTTCAGCCCTCTCCCCCTGCGCAGCGCCGCAAACTCACTGATGCGCCTGCAGCCTCTCAGAGTTTCTGCTGCTCTAAACCATCCAACCATCCAACCATCTTCTGAACCCGCTTTGTCCACGCAAGGTCGCGAGGGGGCTGGCGCCTATCTCCAGCAGTCAACGGGCACTCAGGCGGGGTACACCCTGGACAGAGAGCCAGTCCATCGCAGGGCAACACAGAGACACACAGGACAAACAATCATGCACACACACACACTCACACCTAAGGGCAATTTGGACAGACCAATTAACCTAACAGTCATGTTTTTGGACTGTGGGAGGAAGCCGGAGTACCCGAAGAGAACCCACGCATGCACAGGGAGAACATGCAAACTCCATGCAGAAAGATCCCAGGCCGGGAAGCAAACCCAGGACCTTCTTGCTGCAAGGCAACAGCTCTAACCACTGAGCCACTGCGCAGCCCGCTGCTCTAAACATTAAAATAATTATTTCATTTTATGTTCCTCACTTCTGATTACCTTCACTGGAGTCTGTTTGTTGGAAACCCCCCCCCCCCCTCCCCAAGACCATAAAACCGTGCCCACTGTCTGACCCACTTTCCATGACAGATGTAATCTCCCCGTACAAACTCCAGCATGTTTACCAGTCCAACACCAAGTAAGCCGGACCGGGAGGACTGAGCCTAGCTTCTCTAACGCAGCAGGAGCAGACGATTACACCCGCCGACTGAGCCCGACAGCACTCCCCCAGCAACTACACATCACTGGCACGTGCAAAAACAAAGATTACAGCAAAAGTCCCACGCCACCACACAGGTGTTTATTTCTGGTTTCAATAAAGAACATTTCTAGAGACAACTAGATGCTCGCCACTGAGAAGCCGCATCTGTGTCTTTTTCATTAAGTAAATAAATAGGTTTTGAACTTAACATTCTATTTTACAGAGAAAATTACAGCTGGATTTTCAGCAAACTGTTTATCAGCTATGACAGTGTTTTCATCCTGCCTGTCATCATGATTAAATGTGGTCATGGAGACATTAAAAGGTGGTCTTTACTTCTCTGACTGGTTTTTATGCCTGCCTCTACACAACTGAATTTTTTTCTATTTCTAAGTTATCTTTACTCATTGAAAAAACATCATTTTCACAACAATATTGTTCATTAAATTGTTGATTTCATCCCATTACAGGTTTAAAATATTTCTACAAATTGAAATTAAAATGTAGCTGAGGTATTTTATACCTGACTTTGCACGCATCTTTGTTCTGCGGAAACAGAAAAGGTGTGTAAATGTGGTCTTTATTCATCACAGGCTAGTGTGTAAGACAAAAACTGATCACTCTAGAGCTGCTTTAACAACTCAGATGTGTATGTAGGTGCAATAACCATACTGCTGAACCTTAGAAAAGCTCATTTAAATTAACTCAGTTGTGATTGACTAAATAAAAGAGTATTTTTTAATTTATTTCCAAACTAGACTGTGGGGTCTCTCTCTGTACCGCCACAAACTGGGTTACTAGGGATATGTGCAGCACTGAGCCTCCATTAGGACACTCGAGCTTGCTCTACACCCCTGACCGACACATTGACTCGAATTTCCTTGCAGAAATTGAGACTCTAGACCAAGCAGTGGATACACACATAGGCCTGTAGAAAACACACCCAGCAAAAATGTGCAAACGTGCACATACAACACCTGCACTTCCCCGAGTTGCACAACAAACAGTGTGACCCGAGCCCTTCACAGAAAAGCTTTCACCTTGTAAAATGAATCATTCTATTGAGACATTTGTCATTGTTTCTAATAAATCATAAATCACATGCTTAATAGCTACTGTACAGCTTTATAAAACAAATCCAAATCTGTTCTGTCATGTTTATGAATGTGATATTGATGCAAGTTCAGAGTTATGTTTGCAGAAAAAAAATTTCCATGCCAAAGGACTTTTAAAAACATTTTTCATTAAATGTAGAAAATGGTCAAATGTTTTTCATATTTTACTATTTTTGCCAATATAACTGACTGAACATGCATCAAATGATTTTATAATAATTATAATAATACTATAATAATACACAACTTGTTTTTGTCTATTTTTTATTTAAATTCCACCTTTTATTTATTGTTATTCTTAAGTAATTAAAGTGATGCATGACAGTAACAGCATCACAAAAGCATTTTAAAGATCACAGCTTTCAGATGGTTTTGCAGAATACAAGCAGGAATAAAACCCAACCACTGGGGTGGTGACATTTCAAACATGGGGAATGAAAGCAGTGAGATCTATCAGCTTTACTTATCAGATCGTCATGCTTTACCAGACTGAACCAGACAGAGGAAGTAGCAGGTAGAGAGGGAGAGGAGGAGGGTGGGAGCACTGAAATGAGATGGAAGACAGAGATGCAAGTGGGTGGGGTGGAGGTGTCGTTAACTGTAAATCAAGCTTTGGCCCATGCATTTGCTTTAATTCCTGCTCAGTGTTTGCTCCTTTCTGCCCCATCCCTCTCTCTGCGGCGGCCAGCCCCCAGAGGATGGATGGGAGATAAGCACACACGCAAAGACACAATCCCGAATAGACGTTTTATCTCTGGGCATTACGATTTCCACTGATAAATAATAGTCAAAGCAGGTGCGTGTGTGCGCGTGCGTGCCGAACACATGACCAGTACTTTGCAGCTGCAGCGCTGGCTGTGATGACTTACCAGCAGTGTGGTAGGACATTACCAAATGAGGTAAGACAGCGTTATTAAATGGCACAGTCTCAGAGCAGCTGGCAGGACAAAGCAGGTGACATTTGGATAGTAAGAAGGAAATATAAGCCGTTTTCACTCACCAATGACTGTTTTTATTTTAAGATAATTCAGGTTATATTGTAAACACGTACTCACTGCGATATAAATGATGAAGTCCTCCGGTGCTGCGAGATTTCCAACCAACTTGCTGAAGGTAACAGGCTAGCTAACGTCCCACGAGCTCAAAAAAATAACAAAATGATATTTCACAGCAAATTTCTCCGCGTCTCTAACCTGGAATAAAAATGTACACCGAATCACGTAATAAAAATAAATAACGGAAGACACGCGAGGTTTGAGTAAATTGTTCTCCTCTTGTTGGAGAAATGAGTTACAAAGGCTGTTCGTGAGAGAAAATGTATCCACGTTACGTTATTTTCACTGACAAGGTCTCGGCGCTGCGCTGTCCTTTGTTGTGAGCATCTCAACGTAAACACAGAGCCGAGCAGCCGTTCTGAGCGCGAGCCTGCGCTCTAGGGAGGGAACGCGGCAAAGCATGCTGGGAGTTGACGTTTTATCTGCTGGCGCTGGGAACTCCAAATTCCCAGTCAGAAAATAAATAAAATAAAATAAAATAATAAAATAAAGTAAAATAAAATAAAACAACACTTTTTTCTTCCAGTGTACCCTAGGTAAATAAATCACCAGTATGATATTTACTTGCTTGTCTTTAGGCTATTATTGTAACCTTTGGAATTTTTATTTTTTTGTATGAGCAAGGGTAGATTTTTTTTCTTGTAATGAGATCTAAATATTTAAAAGTGCCTCACTGACATTATTGTTTGATCATTATCAGTAGGAAGCTTCAAACAGACAAAATGAAATGTTTCAAGATAATTCCACTTCTTGAGCACCTGATTTAATTAAATAAAGGGCAAATTTTCCATCATCTGAGGGAAAAACATTATTCATGAAACCTCAAAACTGTGGACTATCCTGATCCTGATGGTTTAAAAACTTTTTGGCTTTTAGAATTTTGTGCTTTCTTTTAGAAATTAGAATTTTGCTCCAGTCCTTCCTTTCCTAACCCAAATTGCATTTAAACATCATGAAACTGGATATATTCCTACAATAAAACATAATAAAAGCAGACATGATAGAATTGCCCATAGCCTGGTGTACAAGTAAAAGCTTTCTGTTAAAGCTCCACATCCAAATCACATTGGAAGTAATTTGATGGTTGAAATAAAATGAAATTGTTCAGTAATGTGTGTGTCTCTTTTGTGTGTCTGTGTCTTGTTTTCTGTAGCCTGGCATATTTATCACAGACATTTATAAGTAACTTGTTTCTGTCTGTGCCTTGTGCACCCTGTTTGATTTCTTTACTGTATATTGCTTAAATTAGTTAATATTTTACTCTATGGACAGAAACTATATTGCAATCCTTGTAGCATTTTGGTGTGGCCAAAGTTACATTTTTTATTAACATTAAGTGCCACTGTTTGTGTTTATTTATTTGACAGATGCTGTTATCCAAAGCGCAGGGGTGTGTCCAGGGAGTGGCCTGGGGTAGCACATGCCACCCTTGGAATCTGATTGGCCACCCCAGGTGCCACCACACTAATTTACCTTTAAGTAGGCTTTTCCTTGTCTACAAAAGACTTGGGGGTAAAACAATAAAAGCATAACCATTGGTGCCACCCTTGCACAAAGTTGTGCCTCACCTAGGCCACCCCATTTTCAAAGATCTGGACACGCCACTGCCAAAGCGATGCACAATTGTTAACCTATAGGGCACGTTGTAATGTGAGTCTGTGAAATCAGAGGTTACATCTGTTCAAAGTGTTTAGATATGACACACAGCAGCACGGCCTTCATCAGCTCCTCTGCTCCACTTTTATGTGTGTGTGTGTGAGATGCATGCCTGACAGACATGTTGGACTCCCTTCTGCTTTAACAAACAGCTTACATACCACGAGTCTGGGTGGACCTGACAGGAATGAGACCAGGCTTGTGTAACTGACTGTGCTGTCTTGATCTTTTATCTTCATCTCCGTAATGCCGCACATGTCCACTTTCTTTTTGTTTCTCCAGATCATGTGGGTGGGCACGTACTGTATGCTGGTTTGGAGCTGTTTGGAAGGATTTGTATTCTAGCAACCATTTGTATCACTTTAGCAGGTTTTAAGCGACAACCTGAAGTTGGTCTGCACCCTCCTGAAGAAATGCATGAAGAGTTAGCATAAATTTTCATGAAATGTATTTCTTTAATTACTTTTCAAGCAGTTTTTTTTAATTCTCTGTTATTTTTGTGTTTAGTTGTTCACGGAGGAAACGTTGAGACATTCCTTTTATGCATTCTGATAGTGATCATATATTTAATTAGACAGGAGCAAAAAGATGTAGAAATCTCCACCAGGAAAATTACTAGGCAGTTTTCTTCATATAAAAATTATTTAACCATAAAGTAATTCCAAATACATCACACTTATATCTGCTTTGAAATAAAAAAAATGTATATGCAGTGTTAACTTACATTCAAATAAAATTGTAACATGTGAAACATAAGGAACCTTACGCACATTTTGAAGTAGATTTTAAGACAGTTGTACAAAAGTAAAAGTAGCTATGTCAGATTATAAATTATACAGAAGCATTATGTGTATTTATACAGATAAATCCACTTCAGCGTGAGAATGAGTGGAAAAATCAGTCGATGCCAAGAACAGATTAGACAGATCTCATCTTCCCTCCTTACGGTGCTCACACATCTCAGACTCATACCGCCACATGGAGACAGGATTATTTTTATACCGTGGAGATGTTGTAAAGCACACACTTACATCTGCTAATAAAATACACGCCTGCTGCTATGCTGCTGCCAGGAGCGAGTAGTGGTCGTTACAGGTTCAAGTGGTTTTCAACCAGCTGCAAAGACTTAAAGGAGAGTCTGCATTTATAACTGTGACATGCACGCACCTCCTCCCAGCACATGTGTTGCATAATCTTTGCACATTAATCAGTGTTTGGATCATTCTGTTTACGTTACCATGGTTTCAACACCGTTCTTGGCCATTTCCAAGGCTGGAAGCTGCAGACACACCTTCCTTTGATTGCATGGGTGAAGGCTCTGCCGCCAGTTCACTTCCCCGCTGGTGGATGTTTGGACAAGTGGTTCTATTTCTGACAAATTTATCGTCAGTGAGAAGGATCAGGAAACTGCAACACAGACAGCTTTACACTCACTTCCTACAAACCTCTGCTCCACAGTGGAGCCTTTACACACTGTTGAGATGCCTCCTTTTTACATAGATGTTGTTGTCATAAGCTTCATTTCTTTCAACAGTCTCATCAATTCTGCATTTTGCTGCAAAGCAAATAAATAAATACGCATTTAAAATTTACTAAACACACCTCTGACGCATCAAATTTACATTAAAACATTTAAAAGAACTAAAAGTTTTCTTTTGAAGCAATGCAGAAATAATCCTCCAACAAAGCCAAGAGGTGCATGTTAATGCTTTAAAGGAACTTGTTCGGTAACTTTTTTCTGTCATGAATTAAAATGATTGTTGATGAGGAATCTTCCAGGTCCATTTGCAAGAGAAGACACAAACTATTCTTTCATGAGCCAGCAAAAATGACTTGTAATGCAGGATCCTATCATAATAACATCAGTAATTCTGAAAAATGATGCATTAATATTGTGCAAAGATTGATTTCATGTGAATAATGAAAAGGCAATATTACTCACACCTGCTGGATTTTGGCAGAACTAATGTTGTTTATGGATGCAGAGGTGAAAACACACAAAAACTACAATAAATGTTCTTGTCTTCATCCTGAAATTGCACAGTAACATTACGTGTAATGTTAACATGCATGTTGCAACGTTTGTGTAAGTTTGCTTTTAACTGCAGAGACTCACGCATCTATTTTCTTTCATTTAGCAGCTCAAAGACACCAACTTGTCATTAAAAACTTATAAGCACTGAGATTTCACTGATTTTGAAACAATGCAGATAACAAAACCTTATATCTAATATCCTCAATTTCATCATGCACACAAAAGATCTGTTTTTCTCTGCTTTCCCTCAAACTTTCTTAAAATTATGAAATTGTTCTCAATCTCGGCAGCTGCATCTGCTTTTGTCCCATGTGATGCTGACGGTGGCCAGGGTGATTGTGTGAAGAGATCGCACGAAGGGCAACCTGTTCTCGGCCAACACTTTAGCCTCTGTTGTTGTTGTGCGATAACACCAAAACATAGCAACAGCTAGGCTGTGCTCGGCAGCACGAGGAAGCCGCGAGGGCCGCGTAGAGAAAGCCTTTGCTGGTGTGACAGGATTATGTGATACAAACATGCTGTGCTCATGAGTAGCAAAATATTAAATAACCCTACTGTCCCGTGTTAGAGGGGCCCAGCGGAGCAGTGTTGTCATGCTGCCATGGTGATGGTAACCATGCCCTGCTAATGTTTACAGAATGTTTAGTGTATCACAAAGCAGACACACAGGGCGGCTAGACCAAATTAATCAAAAGTAAGTGTGTGTATGTGTTAGACTGAGTAAACTGGCAGTTTTCAGCATTTGTTTTCTATGTGTATCCTGCTTTGGTAACAATCTGTAGAGCTGTCACTGTTGCCTTTTCCCCTTAAGTACAAGCCTCTAATAATGATGATTAACGCATAATGTTTTCTAGTTAGTCAGAATGTGTATTAGATCATGCATCCTAACCTACTTCAGATGCTGCTTTGCTAGAAACAAAAAAAGGGCGGCTATGCTGCACTGGTCAATCCCTCTGCAGAAGGAGGGATGTGTGGAACACAGCCTCTTTCTTGATGTGATTTCAAAATACCTACGACTTCCTGCGAGCATCAGAACGTTAAATGCAGACCACCATGGACGTCTTTCAGCTCTTAAAATATCTGATGAGTTCATGAGCAGTTTCAGATAATAGTTTGACAACTTTCTCTGCAGTGACAGTTTGGTCAAGTTGTGCACCAGCAATCAGAATTTTTATTTTACTCATTTATCGTATTAAAATAGGTCTAAACCTATGTTTCTGTTTATGCTATTGATGAAAATATTGTAACTGCAAAATGAGAGGTGGATTTTTACTAGATAATCAGCAGTATGGGTAAGCTGTACCAACGTTTGAAGTAGGCCAACTTTCGTTGTGACAGCTGCTATGAATCATGGTGGTGCCATTCAAAGCTGGCAAACCTTTTTATTTTTCTTAAAGTGGAAAAAATATTTTATTACAGGACAAAGAAAATAATAATAATAATAATAATAATAATAATAATAATAATAATAATAATAATAATAATAATAAAACTACAAATAGTACATTAGTAATGACAAAATGAAAATTTTGTTGATTAGAGAGGGTAAGCCAGTTTGAGCTTGTGGGTAGATGAGTTAACTCATTTATTTTCTTGAAATTAAACAAGATGTGGTTCAACAGAGGAAAAGTCAATTTTTTGATTTGTTTATTTGTTCATTTCAGAAACTGTGCTTGTAAATTGCAAATCCACTCATCTTCCAATAGTATTATATGGCACTTT